TTTCTGTCTCTCTGGTGAGTGCACATGCCCTATAGCAAAAATCTCTCTAAAAAATATGGATGATGAAGGGCAAAATAATAAAAAATAAAAAAAGATACTTTTGTATGATAGTTATGTCCTATACACTAGGAAGTAAAATAACACACTGCACCTGAGATTGAAAATATACAAATTTTGGGCCAGTAGGTGGCATGGTGATTAAGGCACTGGATTCCCACATAGCCAACCATGGTTTAGTCCTGGACCTAAAGGCTTGAAAATCATGCCAGGCACATGTGCATGCATGATCAGAATCCCAGGAGGAGAATGGAGGAGAAGGAACTGTGGCGTGGCCATTCTCCCCTTCGAGGTGATTTCTCTTTCACTCTCACAGTCTCTCTGTTTCTCTTTAGCTATCACATGTGCCCTATGGCAAAACACACACACACACACATTTTATGTCATTAATGCCAATTCTCTGTAACTAAACAGGATAAAAGCTTACATGAACAAAATATATTATAAATACTCTCCCTGCTTCTTTACATCTTTACTAACTCAGAATACCTTAGGTTTACATTATTTTCTTAAGGGGGCCCTATACCATTGCTACCTCCACCAGTGATTTCTACCTATTCCATGACCCTCGAGATAGAATTTAAGTTCTATAGAATCTTTTAAATTGTTCTATTCATGTAAATGTTTTCCTGAAATAAACTGCTTTTATAAGTTGTGCTATGACATTGAAGACTTACTAATTTACAGCATCTTTTTGCTGTTTTATGTCTTTCTCAGGACTTTCTCTACTAGATGGTAACTTACTAGAGATCAGAGAGATCTAATATTTCTTGTCATACCTAGCATTGCACACATAGAGAAACTCAATAAATAGACTAATAGATTTCAGTTGGAATTGAAAATCAATTTAGAATTATGATGGCAATGAACAGGTAAATGGGATTATAACTAAAGGTTTAAAAATTTATATTTTTGCATTTGGAAATTAATTTTGAAAGTGGAGGAGAATAGAGGTTCCTTGGAATTGGAGTTATTTTTAGAACTGGAGAAGAATAGAGATAAAATAATACCTCTCACACTGTGAGTGGACTATCACTCCAGTCAAACTTAATTTCCTTTTGTTGGTCTTTTCTTGTCTAGGACATCATTCCTTCAATGAATCTCTACCTTTGACAGCTTATCTATTTTTCCTTTCTAATCATTCCAGGCTATGATGAACTATTATAATTGTTTTCTCTGAATACTTAAATAATTGTTATTGCCAGAAAACATGTGCTCTTGCTCAGAAAGAAAGCACCCCTGATTGGATGAAGTCACACCATAACCTTTTTCCTTTATTTCTCCATCTTATCAGGAATTAAGTATGCATACACAAGTGCTGGCATTGTTTTCCAAGTCATGGGGACTGAAATTTTCACTACCATTGGCCATTGGTATCAGCTCCCAATGCATAGTGCTGGTTAACACTGTGCTATGGGGCCAATCCAATAACTGTGTCTTTATTTCAATTTAAAAACTAAAAATAAGTAGTAAAAGCAAACTCAGAAGGTAATTCCTTAATCTAGAATGCTCTTCAACAGCCTTTTCTCCCCATTTTTAAGGGAAATATGTTTCTTTTGTTTTTGATAAAATTTATCATTTTATTATTATAAAATGTATGAGTTGATTTATATATGCTAAATTACAGTGGGCCATTCATCTGGTGGCCATGAAGGAAAGAAATGCCCTACACAGTGGAGTTGTGGACAAATTGGGCTGTGTTCTCATTGAGATTCAGAATCTGATTTAGCTGTGCTCTTCAAATGATCTGAATGAGAACCAAAGGTTGTCTTTGAAAGGGAACTTGAACTTTGTGTGAGATCCAACAGGAAGTTGGAACTTTGAAACAAGATGCTTGCTCAGCCCTTTGGAAGGTACAGAAGAAATGTGGATCAGTTCCAGTCAATGGTAGTTGAAGGGAACAAAATGCAATGTGGAATGAATCATAGACATGATGCTTATACAAGGATACAATATCTACATCAACAACTTACTAGAGTTCTTTTTAAAAATTTATTTCTCCAGAGGGCAAGGGTGAGAGTGGTGTCTGGGAACCCCAACAAGTCTCATACCGCCATGCAAACACAATCTCAGTTAGCCCAGATCACAGGCACATGAGTACATATTTGGCATGTTCAGGGAGGTCTTAGGACATGAATGTAGTACCTTTCCTGTCTAGCTCCTGTTGTGATACTGCTGCACTACCACCTGGCCCCCAGCTACTTAATACTTCTGTGATCTGGACCAAGTCAATAAACATCTCTGAAACTTTGCCTTCCTTTTTGTATGATAAGGAGGTGGGAAAATTGTTCATGGATATCCATGTGTAAATATTATTATATTAATATTATTATATCATATTAATATATGATATTATCAATATCATTATTTATATGAGATCATTTGGCTACTAAAAACAATTTATGTACAGAAAAGAGCTTAAAAAAGAAACTGAATTTCATTTATTTTAATAACTGTGATGACATGGGTATAAAGCATTAGAGGTAATCAACAAAATTTGTTGAATGAATGCATCAGAAAAATGTACTGGACTAGAGAGGAAGTAGTCAGAAGAAAGCATCAAGACTAAAGCAACTCTCTAGCTGGCATGTGGAGGCAGAGGAAGGAACTTAGGAAGGAAGATGAATATATGTCTTCTACCTAGGAATCAGGGCCAGAGAAAAGCTGCAAGGGCTAGGAAAGCTGTAGCATAAAAGTGCTGAGAGCCAATTTCTACACAGAGGACTAACAAGCATGTTGTATAGAATGAAGATTCACACCAGAAAAAGCTACTCGAATATACTTTAAGCAACATGTTTGCACATTTGAATTTATATTTGAAGCAGCTAGAAGACAAGATGTGGAAGGGGAGTGAAAAGTCCAATTGTCATAGGCTATAGAGTTAGGCATATAAGAGTTTAAATCCAAACTGTCATTTACTAATGGTATAAATACTGACCAAGGGGCCAGCAGATAGCATGGCGGTTGTCAATGGACTCCCACAGGGCTCATCAGAGTTTTGAGTCCCAGACTTGGTGACTTGAAACTCATGCCAGGTGCATGTGTATGTGTGTCCAAGATCCTGGGAGAACAGAGGAGAAGAAATTAGCCATTCCCCCCGGGGCAGGGGGTGATTTTTTCACTTTCCCTCTCTGTATCTGTCTCTTTCTCTGGCAATCACACACACCATAAAGCAAAAGCTTCAAAATAAATAAATAAATAAATAAATAAATAAAACAAAATGACCAAAAAAATTAATGTCTCTGAGACACCTAAAATATGAGACTTAAATTTTGAAAAAAAAAAATTTACAAATGTCAACTCTACTTTACAGAACAATTTTGAAGATCAAATAAGTGTAAATATATAAGAAAGAACTAAAATATGCTTAATATTTTTTTATTGTTGGTGTTTTCATTATTTTTTTGTTCGTTTGTACTATGAATTTTACAACCAATAAGGAGAAACTTGCTAATCTTTGGCTTGACTTCAGGTCAAGAACTTGTCATTTGTAAAGTAAATGGCTTCTTTTTTGTTGTGTTTTCTCCTATATATACTTTTACCACCATTTTTACTCTTTTTAGTATAGGTGCTGCTGAAGCGAGCACCACCATTTTTACTCTTTTTACAAGTCAATTTTCATCTTCCCGAAATTCTAACTTTGTTTTAGCAACACTATAGAGGAAAAAAGGACAAATTCACAATTAATCCAGGGTAGCTAAGTGGACTTCATGTCTATGGTTTAGCTAACTAGGCCAAGAATCTCAGGAGAATATAAAAGCCAGGAAAGAACAAAGGGAATGATGGAGATCATTCAGGCATGACCAAAATATTCTTTATATGACTTTATGTAAGAGATGGACTACATCACATTCAAATGCACTCAACGCATCTTTCCAGTAAGAGATGACATCCCCCTCAAGCATTTCTTTACACTTTTATAATACCTTCATTTAAGTGGAGAGTAAGAGGAATCTCCCTTCCTTAAAAGGCTACTGGTTTTACCAGTTTCAACAGGGTGTCAAAACTTTTCAGTTAAATAGAAGGACAAAATTCATCTAAGATTTGTTATGGACAATATGTTAATACCGATAACTCAACAGTAGGCATACTAAACACATAATAGGGCTCATTTATCACCAAATGATTTTTGTCCCATAACTAAATGAAATTTTCAAAGACATTTAGTTCTGGGGAAATGTATTAAATCAAGTGAAACCATGGTTTGAGTTAGTTTTGAACTCACCTTTATCTGCAGGAGGTCCGGACTCTGACAGAAGCAGGCCTTACCCTGTACTGTCATGAGTAGGTTGGTTTCCTCCTTCGTTATCAGGACAGCAGAATACTTTGGTTCAAGGATAATAAAGTACAGGGCCACGTAGGCCAAGAGGGCTGGATTTCACCTCTAATTTTTGGCCTAAGGTTTCAGGCTGAAGAAACGGTTCTCAAGGACTTAGAGCGATCTCAGTTCCAAAATCTCAGACAGAAAAAGATTTCTTTAGGAAAAAGATGTCTTAACTCATGAGGCTGTGTCTGAAGATAAAGTTTAGGGAGTATGCTCAGGAAAAGTCTTGTGACCAAAGAACAGAAAATGGAGAGGGGCTGCGCCCAAGTGGACGTCTGTCCAGTTGATTCGCTTACATATTTCACAAAGGTATAGGCCAGGCGACAGACTTGCACTGACTGAGGGTGTGGTGACAGGAGCCCTCAGGTGCTGAGGTACTCTAATTAGGAGGATAAGGTGTGAGGAAAACCAGGCTGGAGTTGAACAAAGGCGCTGTCGGGCCGCGGAAGCAATCG